AAAATGTGATTTTATTAAATTGTGAAAAAAGAATAAAAAATAAAGAACCAAGAGAAAAGGGAAAAAAATCTCTATCGGAAGAAAATATCTCTCTCTAACTGAAGAATAAATTATAATCCAAAAATTGCATTAGAAATAAATAAGGTCGATTCTAGTGGCCCTAAATTTAGGCTCATCACAGCTACGAACTTGATGTAAGACCCCTCGTCCCTATTGCTCCCATCAGAGAAATTTCAGTTTCTGTAACTAGCTCGTTAAGCTAATCAACTGATTGGTTGATTTCAGATTTCCCTTTTAAAATGGAGGAAGAAAAATCATGCCCCACCCCCTACTGCCAACTGGGGGTGAAACTTTAGTGCAGCATTGTCTTCCTTTGGAAGCAATTAAACCACATTTTCCCTAAAACTCAGAGCTGTCCCTGGATTTCAAAATGAAAAGTGTCACAAACTACAGCACATTACTTCAGTGAAGTTTATTATATTTTCATTTATATTGTAAAGATGTGAGAATCGGAGCCCTAATATATCCAAAGACTATAATTGTGATTTGAAATTTGTCACAAATGATCTGTATTAATGAAGTTATATTTTTGTTACAGATTATGCCAAGGACTTGAATGGATGATGTCAAGACTTAAAATCAGATGATTCTAACTACACAGACATTGTAAAAAAGAGAACTGGCTATTTGGCTGTGAATTATTGGCTTATGTATATTTATAAAAACAAGATGACTTTTTCTTTTGCTACCTAAAAGATTTCAAACAAGAGAAAACAATTGGAAATTCAGCCTTGACTTCCTTTGATGATTTCTTTGAACTGAAATTTAAATACTGTGGCTGGCCTTTCTTTTATCAAGAAATAATGTGCGGAGATCAAATACAAGGAAAGAATTTTAACTTTTACTTTTTATTATTCAAATCTAACTCACTAAATTGAAATGCTGACTTTATTTCCACAAATCAAAAATGAAAATCAGTGGTACAGGTACTGACTGTCTAGTATTGAAACCGACTGGGATATGTTTCAGAAGTGCGAAAATGTTCCTATATGTGAACTATATGTTTTATGTAATTATACCTCATATTAAGCTTGATTAAAATCTGTTGAGCAAATTGGTTAATATCATTAATTCTGTCCATTGTACTCCTTAAGTGGCAGTATGTGATTTGAGCCACTTTGGACCTATTTGAGTTCCATGTGTTACAGCCAATCTTTTTTGTCTGACCACCAAGCAGGTTCTGTCAGGACAAATTCTTTATCTACTTTCTAACTCCTCTCAATCTTCACCAGAATTTTGGTGAAGCTGTAACAACCTTTGGGATACATAGGAGGGAGCTGCTAGTTGGACAGGATGCTGAGAATGTTCAACCAGGTCAACAAAACCCTGTGCATGGAATGTTTTGTATCATACTATGGCAGTAGGATTGGGGTCAAACTATTTGAATTTGTAATGGTTTATTTAAAAAGTAGGTGGTGTGGGGGGATGCTGCTATAGTATATCATTATCTTTTCTGTATTACTCAAAAGCAATTGAGACAAAAATACAAGTTATGTATTATTTTATGTATATCCTGCAGTTTAAAACAACCACAAAAGAATTAAGATTCAATGTATTATTATTTAGAAGTTTACACTTTGATTGCATTTGCTGAGATATGCATTGCTTCAAATAGAACACTTGAGTTACCTGAAATATGCACTGTGGTTCAAAAACATCTTTTATACTTGGGTGGTATGCATAGAACATTCCCATTTGATGTGTGATGTTGAAGTTAAAAGTGGGTTTAATCCAAAAGAAATAGAATAATTAGGAATTTCACAGAATAAGTATAAACTTGGAGTTTCTTCTGGGGAAATTGGTGACGTGCTCTTTATGTGATCACCTAAAATGGACAGAAATTTGTAATTACACTAAAGTTGCACTTAAAGTCACTTGAATGAAAAATCTTGACCAGTCTTATTGATTTAATAGAAAAGATCAGCTAAGTTTTTATCAATTCCATTGCTGCTTTATAGGGGTCAGAGACTATAATATAAATAACTATATTAGTAGCCTATTAATTGAGCCATTTGCTTTTCAGATTCTCTAGGAACATCCCAAGTGTGCATTCATGTGTGTGTGTGTGTGTGAACGCACATTTATATGACTTGATTCATCTGTTCCTTAAAGTGAAAATGTAAACTAAATGCATGGACCCTACAAAGCAGTTTTCCAGTTTTATATCTTCCCTGTTTTAAAACTTGAAGTGCATTAAAATATGAATAAACTAATTTTCCTGTTACTTTATGCTGCAATGATTGTAAAGGTGGATAGGCAAATAAGTTGGTGCCTGATATAGGAAAATACAAATTATTTGAGATACTATTTTAGTCTTCTGAACGTTGTGCTTAGCATTCTTTCCAGGCTTAGGGGGTTATTTAGAAATAAGTGTATCCTTAGTATCAGATAAACTAAATGCCTCCCCTCCTTTTTTTTTTTTTTTTAAATCAGGCATTAAGTATAACGGTCTGTAATTTCAAATTGGATCAAAGCAATTTCAGTACTTTAATTTAAACTCAATACACTGGCTGCTTTGTACAACAGCTCCTAAGTTTTTCTGATTGGAGAAATGCTTAAAATTAGTAGTGCCATTAAACTACATATCAGTATTTGGCAGGAGAAAAAAAATGGCACACAATTTTTTTAATGTTTTACCACAAACTGGTTTTGAAATAATTCTTAACTTTGAAATCAGTTTGCTATGGAGATGGTTTTTTTAAGAGACATAAACATTTAAACTTCTTGTAAGTTGTTCCATGCTACTTTGATTTCTACTCAAAATATTTTTTTTTTAAAAATCACCTTTCATTGGATGAATGCCCTGAGAAAAATTATGTTTCAACATAAACATAATTATAGTTAAAATTGAACTAGAATGCATAAATTTTTGACTATCCAAGTTACCAAATTTATTAAATCCCCCTACTAACTTTAACGAGTATAAATGAGAATGCACAAGTTCCCAAACAGGATGGGTTTCTCCAAGTTAAAAAGAACCAATTTTCTTCCCACATTCTTCTCTTGACTCAGATTAAATGGCAGATGGTTGTGAGAAGGGTGACTTACCCTCTGTTTTCAATGACTTCAGTAAAATTGAAAGTATAGAAACCCACAGGTATAGTCCAACTCTGATTCTTGACTGACTCTCAGCATTAACAAAAACGATGCTTTTACAACTTTTTTTCAGCTTTGAATCAACTAGCAAAGGGCAATTGGATACACTGAAAAGGGGTTAGAAGAAATCTTAATACAAAGCCTTTGGATAATTAATCTTTTTTAGAGCAACACGTTACCAATCAGTTCTATAAAGCTAAAGCCCATTTTTGTTTTCATGTATATTTTTATCCAAAGCAGGCTTTGGACAGAACAGCTGTGTGAGAGCATTAATTTCAAATCAAACTGTTACTGCCATTCCTCTAAAATGTGTTGGGAGACTTTGGGTGTCGTTCCTACTTTTGATTTTCAAGCCACACCAATTTTATCAGAGGATTTATGCGTGCTTATTACAATAATATTTCGTATATATGAGAAAAGCATACATTGCTGTGTGCACGTTTTGTGATCAGGTATAGACAACATCTGTTTTTAAGAGTGAAGGAAAAAAAGTACCCTGTGCTTCCATAGGACCTGTGAATGATGGTATCTTGGTTGATGTCAATCTGTAGAGTGGAAGAAGCAGATCAGGATAATATACCCGAGACAAGCTGAACATAACTAGTTTCTAGATTTAGGTTGATGAAAGAATTGACTTAACGTTTTGGGGTTCGTTTGTTTTTAAAATTAGCCCTGGCTGCATGCTTGCTTCTGTGCCTATATGTAATGCCTACTTAATGTGTAAATTTTGTAAATAAAGGATTACTAGAAAGATAAATATAGTCTCTCTTATCTGTAAAACCAGCCTGCAAAGCAGCCCACACAGATACCAACTATTGATGACAAATTTTCAGACTTGCAGACGTTAATATGCTTAGTAAATCTTTCTATTTGGGAAGTTATATTGTTACAAAGAAAGAAGTATGAAACAGCAGTACATTAAACTTGCTCTGTGGCAGTGATAAAGTTCACTTGGGGATGGCGATGATGAATCATGCAATCAATAGCTATGTAAACTGCTGTGTAATACACATGATAGTGATCCTCGGTGAATGATTAATAGACTGCATGTTGTTTCCAAAGTACAATAGAAGCTGCTGCTGACTACCCTGACTATTACAACTAGTGGTTTTTATTTTAGTCCTTCTTTAAAGAATCACAAACATTTATGGCAAAGCTGGAACGTTAGAAGAGGAAAAACTAAATGTTAGGCAAGAGGGAAATGAATACTTCTCAAATACAAGATTTCAGGATTCAGTTTAGTTTGTGTTTAAGGAGTAATCAGTATGTTTGCTGCCAATAAACAATAATAAAGGAAGGATAAAAATCACGTTTGGGGCATCAGCACCCAAAATCCATGGGATATTCACTTATGTTGATACTCTATTTATAAAGTAGACCAGGGTTGTCAAACTCAATCCAACACACAGGGTGCTTATATCTGGGCAATGGGGCCGCCCTGGAAACAGCAAAGGTCCAGCCCATGGTGCCTCTGGCAATGAAAATGGAGCTTGGGAGGGCTGCCCACAGCCATCTGTTTTTGGCTGCAATGCCTCCTGCAGCCCTCTGCCAGCGAAAACAAAGCTTGGAGGGGCTGCATGCATCCCCTGAGCTCCGTTTTTGCTGGCAGAGAACTGCAGGAGGCTGTCACGACTGAAAATGATCCATTTTTGCTGGCAGAGCACTTGTTCCATCACAGGCACTCCCGAAAAGTGATGTCATGCAGGCCATGCCCACCCCAAGCCCCCAAGGTCAAAACAACCCTGATGCGGCCCTTAATGAAATCGAGTTTGACACCCTTGAAGTAGACTCAATGTCTCACCTACTTTGCCATATTAGATACAGGTAGTGCTTGACTTATAACTGCAATTTAGCCCAAAATTTCCATTGCTAAGTGAAACAGTTGTTAAGTGAACTTTTCCCCATTTCTTGCCACAGTTGGTAACCCTGCACTTGTTAAATCAGGAACCTGGTTGTTAATTGAATCTGGCTCTACCATTGACCTTGCTTGTCAGAAGGTTGCAAAAGGGGTTCACATGACCCTGGGGCACTGCAGCCAATCGTAAATACGAGTCAGTTGCCAAGCATCCAAATTTTGATCACATGACCATGTGGATAGTGCAATAAGTGTGAAAAATGGTCATAAGTCACCTTTTTTCAGCACTGTTATAACTGAATGGTCATTAAATGACCTCATAAGTCGAGGACTACTTGCATAGTGTCTCCTATTACAGTGGAACCTCTGGTCACGACCATAATTTGTTCCATAACTTTGGTCGCAACCCAATTTGGTTGTGACCTGAACTTAATTTTGGAAATTTGGCGCTTACAAAAAAAAAATGATGTGGAAGGGGAAATCGGCTGCTGGGAAAAAAAAAGGTGAATTTTTTTGTTTGGAACCCGATTTGGTCATGGTCAGAAGCGTTCATGATCAGAGGTTCTACTGTGTATACATACATGCTTCCCTCTACCTTACTAATGCTCCCATCTCATTTTTGTAGATTACCTTTTTATAAAGCAACTGTTACCTTAGTATCATAGATATTTAGCTTCTTAGTTTGCCAACTGTATAATTGTGTTTAGATACTGGTTTTTTAAATCTTCCATCTTTTGTATTTGTATCTTTTATATTTTTAGCCTATTTACTTGTCACTTTTTATGTTTCTTCCTAATGATTGTAGCCCATCCATTTATGTTGGGTCTGTGATCTTAATGAAGACCGAAACTGAAAGCTATACTTACTCAAATGTTGATGGATAGCATGTTGTACCATCAAATGTTGCAGCAAATTGTAATTGTCCTGCTGAAACCACATCATATTTACTGGCTTAGGATATCTGTGAATAATTATGTGGCTTTGACAGATAGGTGTGACCAATGTTTGCCTGCATGGGAAAAAAGAAACCAGGCACACTTGGCTATTTGTAACCTTTGACTATAATGTTAAGCCAGGCATCATTTTTCCTCATAAATGAATGATGAGCTCACACGATAAAACTAATATGCTGTATAACGCAGCTGATCCTGTTGTTGATACTGCTGCTAAACATGAAGTATGGAAACCTTTTGTGATAAAAACTGCAGCAGCTGTCTTGGCGTACATGATGCATGACACTCCTGCTATAAATAATGACCATTTGATTGTATAACAGCATCAGAAGAACTATAGTGATATTGTATTGGCCATAACATTTCACCAACCTTCAGATTATTCAGAATGAGCAAAACATTGGCTGGGACCCTCACTGTGGTTACTCGGTGTGCAAATATCTTCCCTTTTGTCTTGTTTTATCTATATTGTTTTAGGAATTTAGGAACTGTTTTAATTCTTTGTTTAGTTCTTGGACCCAGAGTCACTTTAGAGGCTGCATAAATTCAACAACACACACCACACACTTCACTTTCATGTAAGCCACCTTGTGGAAAATACAGAAAAAGAAAAAAAATTCAGACACAATGCAAGAAAAATGAGAAAATACAGTAGAACTTCTGGTCACGAACACTTCTGACCACAACCAAATAGGGTTCCGACTAAAAAGTTCACAATTTTTTTAAAAATCTGGTCATGAACACATACTCTAGTGGTGATCAAACACAGCTGTGGCCAATTTTCCCTTCCGCGTCATTTTTGTAAATGCCAAATTTCCTATTTGTTTGTTTACAAACAACAGCGACCCACAGTTGCAATTAACCATTGCAAAATTTTGTACAGCTTATTTTAACTGTTCACCATACCTCTTTACTCCTTTCTGTCTTAGTAAACTGTTCTTGCTTCGGCTTCACACATTGCAATTCTTTAAATGTCTTGCCTCTCATTTGTAGATCTCATTATTCTATCCAGCTGTGACTTGCTTAGTCATCGTCTTGCCCCATTCATTTTTCTTTGATAAACAGATAGTCCTCAACTTACAAAAGTTCATTTAGTGATCGTTCAAAGTTACAACGGTACTGAAAAAAAGTGACTTATGACCATTTTCACACTTATGATCATTACAGTATCCCAATGCTTATGATCAAAATTCAGGTGCTTGGACACTGACTCATGTTTATGATGGTTACAGTGTCCCGAGGGTCAGGTGATCACACTTTATGATCTTCTGACAAGCAAAATCAGTGGGGAAGCCAGATTTACCTAGCAACCATGTTACTAACTTAACAACTGCAGCGATTCACTTAACTGGCAAGAAAGATTATAAAATGGGGCAAAATTCACTTAGCAGATGTCTCATTTAGCAATGGACAGGGCTCAGTTGTTGTAAGACAAGGACTACCTGTATTTGATTTGTACTTGAATTTACATTCATTCTCTACATGGCCAAACCACAAAGTGTATTTCTTACATTTTCTCTTGAATGTACAATAAATGTTCGTTGATACATAGGTCAAAAAATCTGCACATCCCTTTCAAACAGAAAGCCCCAGTGCACTTCCCAAATTTTGTCAATTGTCACCTCTTGTACTCAGAATTCTGAAATGCCGGATAAGGTATACATGACAAACTATTTCCAGTGTAACATTAACTCTTGCTAGCTTTTCCTTTGTCTAGGGGGACATTAGCAGCATTCTTCCCATTGTTGGGTAAAGCAATGCAGCTTTCATACAAGTCACATTTCCAGAGTGGGTTTCTTTATCACTTGTCTGGGCTTTGTTATATTTAGAGGGCAGTTTCTTTGGAGTATCAGCTTTTGGGGAATGCATCAGTATCCTTGAACATTGCTGGTATTGAATTTGTAGAGGAGTCAGTGTCAATATCACATCATTACATCGGGAAACAATATAATTTTAAGATTTCTCCCACTATATCATCCATTTTTCCAGCTTTAGCATTTCTCAATAGTCTCATCCTTTCATCACCCCCCCTTTGTTAATATTTATACCTATACTACTCTTGATTCCATACAGACTTCTCAAATACTCCTACCCACATTCCCTTGATTCATATTCATTCAAAATAATTTCCTCACTTTTATTTTTAATTCCATTCACTTTATTTCTATAGCTTTCCCCTTTTTTTCTTCCTTTACTGCTGCTTCCTGAGAATGGTAATCATCAATACGTTTTATTCTTTATTAGTTATTAGTTTACTAGTAGTTTACACTGTATTTTTTGCTGAACTACTGTGTATAGATTTGTCAGCTGTGCATCATCTGTAACTTTCCCTTGAATCTCCCTTATAAAGTTAATTGAACATTCTTGTTGTGTGCATCATGTATCATAAATCTTAGTTTCATTTTCTTGATGGGATTTGCAATGTCCATATCTTTATCTGTTCTTTAGAGGACCATCTCATTCCATATATTTTAAGTACTTCTTTTGTATAAATCTACATGTGAAGTATTCTTCTGATGAGCAGGTAAACCAGACAAGAAACATAGCCAGACAAGTTTATAGATAAACTATGTTAGGCGCTGTGGTGGTGCAGTGGTCAGATTGCAGTACTGCAGGCTACTTCTGACTGCTGGCAGCCAGCAGTTCGAATCTCACCAGGCTCAAGGTTGGCTCAGCCTTCCTTCCAAGTTGGGTAAAAGGAGGACCCAGATTGTTGGGGGCAATATATTGACTCTGTAAACCGCTTAGGTGGGCTGTAAAGCACTGTGAAGCAGTATAGAAGTCTAAGTGCTATGGCTATTAACAGAACCTTGCAAGTCTGAAAGTATAGTTCTCCTGCCTTTGCCTGATAAGTTAGGCAAGATTGCTCCTGGGCCTTTTACTCCACCCACCATGCAGCTGTGTGCTTTGCTCACTGTTATCTGACACATATCTAAGAAGCATTTATTT